GGTGCTCCTTTCTGGTCTGCTCCTAAGCGGTTCCCGAGACCTCTGGAGTTCTCATCTTCTGACTCAAGTCACCTCAACTTCTTGTTGGCTGCTTCTATACTAAGGGCAGAGACATTTGGAATACCCATACCTGATTGGGCGAAAAGCCCAACGAAACTGGCTGAAGCTGTGGACAAGGTCATCGTTCTGGATTTCCAACCAAAACAGGGTGTTAAGATAGAGACAGATGAGAAGGCTACTAGCCTATCCTCCGCGTCTGTTGATGATGCTGCCGTCATTGAAGAGCTTATTGCAAAGCTGGAAGCAATTTCTAAAACATTGCCACCAGGATTCCATATGAACCCTATACAGTTTGAGAAGGTTAGTAGGTCCAGTTAATCACTTCTAAAACCTTGTGTACCGTAGCTTCTGTTAGATGCCTAATTTCTTTTAGCTGTTTCTTGGTGGGTATCCATGTCTCTAGGATGAAAATTATTATGCATCTAGAAATTCAATGCTGATATAATTTTATTATAATTATATATGCAGGATGATGATACCAATTTCCATATGGACTTGATTGCTGGCTTTGCGAACATGCGGGCTAGGAACTACAGCATCCCTGAAGTTGACAAGTTGAAGGCGAAGTTCATAGCGGGAAGAATCATCCCAGCCATCGCCACCTCAACTGCAATGGCCACTGGCCTTGTCTGCCTGGAGCTTTACAAAGTCCTCTCTGGTGGGCACAAGGTTGAAGACTACCGGAACACATTTGCGAACCTCGCAATCCCCCTCTTCTCCATGGCGGAACCTGTGCCACCCAAGACCATCAAGCACCAAGACATGTCCTGGACCGTCTGGGACCGCTGGACCGTAACTGGCAACATCACGCTGAGGGAGCTCCTGGAGTGGCTCAAGGAGAAGGGCTTGAACGCGTACAGCATATCCTGCGGGACCTCGCTGCTGTACAACTCCATGTTCCCGAGGCACAAGGAGCGGCTGGACAAGAAGGTGGTGGATGTGGCCAGGGAGGTGGCCAAGGTGGAGGTGCCTTCGTACCGCCGCCATCTGGATGTTGTGGTGGCCTGCGAGGACGACGACGACAACGACGTCGACATCCCGCTTGTGTCCATTTACTTCCGGTAAAGAGGGGCACGCTGCCCATTTACATGATCCTGTGCGATATTTGTCAGAAGGATCGAGCGTATAAGTTGCGCATGCAACTGAGAACTAGGTTGCGTTTAAGCACATACTGATGATTTCCCGAGCTATGATCTGGGTAGAGTTGGCTGGGAATTGTCGCTGAGATTTGGGTTCACCGTTATGGAACTCTTGAGCATAACATCATGATAGTTAATGCATGGTACTGTTGTCGCTAAATTGTCGTCTTAGTACTTTGAATGCATGTACCGTACCGGTTTGACGCTATTCTGGCTGCGATTTCGGTAATGTTTGTGTATTGTTTCATGGCATAACGAATTTGTGTTGGTGGCACGTCGTGCTCCCTTCAAATTTTGGGAACTGCAGAAGTATTAGGGCTTCAACATTTTGACGGGGTTGCATTGCATGGGGGATGTGCGTGCATTGATCCACATGGGTGTATGGGTATGATGTAGATGGTTACGGGACTACGGGTTGGGGAAGACAGACAGCAAGCACGTTTGGGTTGTCTACCACGTCTAAGGTGTCGTTTGATGCACATGCGCTTGTTTCTAAACTACTGCTGCCAACTTAATTAAGTTTGGCCATGAAATCATATGCCGATATGCGTGAGATGCGCCTAGGACAGACAGGAAAAAGAAAACCCAAGAAGATGCCTATTGCGTATATGCAGAGAAGCCCAGACTGGAAAGAAGGTGCCTGTTGCATATATATGTATGCAGAGAAGCGCAGACAAAAAAGGAGGACCTGATGTAAAAATAAAAAATCTCAGGACCTGAATCTAAGCACAGACAAAAAAAGGAGGGGTGTTGCGAGAATCGAACTCGCGACCTCTCGCACCCGAAGCGAGAATCATACCACTAGACCAAACACCCAACTGTTGGTGTTTGTGTCAGTGGAATTTTATTAAACCAATAACTGAAATGGTAGCGTTGCAATCAACGCAGGACAGGCCATACAGGAGGAGATGATCCGGTTCGTCGGTTCGATGACCCAAACCTAAATTTGTAAGCCAATTTGCATTGATGGGAAAGGATACAGACTCTATGTATGTCGTGTGAGTTTGGAACATGCGTGACCCACACACATGCCGAATTTAATTCTGCATGTTGTTCTCTAACACATGATATGAGATGAACAGCCTACCGTTTATATATGCATGATGACATACACCATGAAATATGCAACACGAACCTTCCTCACAATTCAATCCAATCTTTTCTTGAGTGAGTAATATCACCACATACGAAATTCCCACCACTGTTAGCTTAAACACTCATCAATCCCGTTTAAACATCGGGTAAACTTTAAATGGTGGTAAGTCGTTTCTATTTAATCGGTCTATTAATCCCATTTAATTGGAATTTCAACCCGTTTAAATAGATGATCAGCTAGTCGGAATAATGGCTAAATGGTAGGTGACCGTTTGATAGCATTTCATAAAACAATTAGTTCATTTCTGAAATTAGCATCAACAAAACGAGCGTATATCTAGTAGAAAATCTAAAATAACTTATAATTCAGAACAGAGCAAGTAGCAAACAGAGGTGTTATTGTATCCATGCTAATTAGCTTGTGTTAGCAGAGATAAAGTTGGCAAACTGAGGTGCTTTGTTTTTCACACCATATAATTTTCATGGAGAGGAGGATGGTAAAGATGAGGTTTTCAAGAAAATACCAGGTCAATCCGTGCCACCAATCCAGCCCATCATTTTTTGAATTGACTTGCTCTGGTACATAACATCAATGGTTAAGTCATGAACTTGCCGAGGACAAATAAATAAACTAAACAAAAGTGCAGCGCTAGCGAAGGCACGGTCCAAAAATGTTATAAAATTTAAGTGAAGATGGGAACACAGATTGTCTAACCATCACTTGTGTACTCTCTCTAATGCATAGACACATCAACTAATAGCGTAGAAAAGAAAAATCAAATGCACACTTCAACTGAGTAAATTTAATAGGAGAGACGATTTCCTACACACATCACCATCATATATTATATTGTATGTTATATATATTATACATGGCTTGGAGTTTGGAATTGGCTCGGCTATATAGTATTTTTTAGATAATAGAAAAAAAAAATCTGATTTCAGCCTTCTACTCAGAAGAAGCATGGGTCCACGCTTATAACAGTAACACACCCAAAAAATAAATTTATTATAGATTTATAACTCAAGTCCGGTAAATGAAAGACCATCCATTCGATGCGAAAAACTATATGGCTCTTGATTCTAGTAGCTTGCAGGAATCAAGAATTCGTTCATTGCCTTCGTCCGAGCGTTCAATAGAGTTCAAAATTATATTGAGTCTACTCACTCAAACAATTAAATTATTTGACATGGTCATACTGTAGTGACTAGTGACCCATCAAGACACGAGGTAGGTGGCATACAAAATTGACACGAAAGTGCGAAAATGGGTCCATGAAAAGGAACAAGACGACACCTAGATCTCTAATTGAAAAGGTCTACGCATGCTATAAGCCTATGTTTGAGTCTCCGAAACGTCCTAAATGCTCATATTTTTAGTTATTTACTACTTTTTTTATTTTATTAGTGATCAATGACGTATTGCCGTGTCTATTCACAAGAATATGCATATGGCTTTTATTTATTTTTTTGTCAATCTAAGATATGTCGGCAAAGTCCTTTAAAGACGTCCATATAGATAAACAATGTGAACAATGCATTCATAAAAGTAAATACACGTGCATCTATGCTTGCACTATGCTTCGTTTAGGAAAAACGAACACTTCAAAGGTAGCACAGTACCAAAGTTGTGTGTAAAATCCAGCGAGTACCAAATTCTCGAAGTACACTGCCTACGATAGGTTCTTGGCGAGTCACGTTTGGTGGTCCAGTGGAGAGGCGAGAATATGTATAATTAAGTAAATAAAAAAACTCCCACAAGAAAAATAAATAAAAGGAAATTTCCATGTGTTGGGCAATCAGTTAGCAGCCAAGGATGCCTAGTGCATCTCGTTCTCATCTTCTTTGCGTATCTGGCTGCCCACAAACGGACAGAGACGGACAGACATCCTCCAAAGTACATCCAGTCCACCAGATTGCATAATCTGCTCCTGGTCCTGGGAAGCTAAGCTTTACAGGTACTGGAAGAGAAGATCCTAGCTGTAGCTGTTCATATTCTCTTCCTTGGCTTCTCCAATTCCTTCGTTTGATTTGATCCCCAACAAGACAGTAGCTGCTTGCTCTGTCCTGATTGGTGCTCCTTTGCTGCTTGCTCCTGAAGAGCCTAGAGGAATGGCGCTGTAGATTGGGGCATCCTACTAGAGTGAAGGGAAGCTTCTCTTTGCTGCAGGTTTGGCTTCTATGTGAGCCCTTCCTTCTGTCCCTGTTCTGTCTTTGATTCTTCAATTCTAACTCACGGGAAACCCCATCTAGCTTTGTTACGAGTGTGGATTCTTTACTTCAACAGCTGCAGTTCTTGGACCCTCCCCTACTTTTCTGCCTCATTTTCCCTACTTGTTTGACATCTTTTTCATCCTGAAAACTAAGCACTCCCCTTTATGATATCTTTCAGGATAGGGGTCAAACAGATGGAGATTGTTCGGTTATGGCATCTCGATTCGTTTCTTGCGGTGGTATGCAATCCAATCCGTGTGTGTCCCTCCTTCCCACAGCGCAAAAGATGCGAGCTTTCCGACATCTAGCTAGCTAGGCTTGCTTGTACAGTCAGTCAGTCAATCACCACGCGTCACTGGTAAGCAGTCGAATCTATGGTGGTACTGGTGCGCTCTTTTATTCCCTTCCCTAGTTCTTACTCTCTGTTTTAACATCCTGCAGTAGAGAGAAGACGTTTGGGCTCTTTGCCTGGGCTTGGGGATACACACAGAAATGGCGGACATACGCAGCATCAGAGTTGCTGCCTACTTCTTCCTCTTCTCCTTGCTCGTGTCTCAGAGGCTTGGGTCTTGTGCTTCCATCAAAGAGCAAGGTGGGTGGGCGCAAAGAATTTTCTGATGGGCAATATTAAAAACAGATGACAGACTAGGTTCTTGACATGCATGGATTCGTGCCTAAGCAAATTGTACTGGTGTTTTGTTCAGGGAGACCTCTTTTGAGATTTGGAGAGAGCGTAGCAGACGATCCTAGTGGATCTTCGTCGAATCGGGGAGCAAGTTGCTCGGATGATGGCAAGGTGGTGGCATTGTAAGTGCTGTTCTCATTCAATCTTCAGTTTTCCTTCAGCAAATCTCAGTCCTTAGAAGATTCAGAGTTCACGGTGCCTCTTAGTTGCAAATTGAATGTATTATAAGGGCCCGGAGCGCGAGAATTTCATAGGAATCATATAGGAATTTCACAGGAAGCAGTTCACTTTCATAGGTGAAACGCAGGAATAGGGGAAATTTCGTGTGTTCCAAACATGCCCTAAGCAGCATGTAGTCAAGAATGTGTAGTTACCCCTTATTTAAACCACTCTTGGAACAGGTCCTTATCTCATTTTGCTATTGCCCACTGTTGTAAGTATAGCTTCCAGCAGCAGGCATTACTCAAATCAAACAATTCTAGAGTCAGCTATGCTTGTCAAACGACAGTTTTGACTTTTGAACATTTCTTGATGTCCTTTCCCCTCTTTTCAAACCTGACAGTTTGTGTATGTTTACTTGTTGGGATTCAGGCACAAATGGTAAATATTTAAATAAGAAACAGTGACAACAAAATTTTTAAAAATCTCTTCGACGTTAACTTTTGCGGACCTAGATTACAAATGGACAAATTCTGGTTGTCATTATGCACCGATACCTGCAGAGATGGGTAACATGCAAAATCTGAACTGCTAAGTCAAACTGCCATCAGAAAGTTCATAAAAAAGATGTTTGCCAGAAAAAGCAATTCTTTCAGATCTTTGAAGATAGTGCCACATAAAAATTAACATCACATGGCGAATTGCCATCTCACTTGCACAAGCATACATAGATTTCAGTTTCATGGGGGCTATCTGATGAAGTGCTGCAATCTTGCAGGAAAACCTTAACAAAGTCAGTGTCTTGTTTCTTTCTTTCTTTTTACTACATGTAGTTTCCTAACCATAATTACAACTTCACCAAGTTCACTCCTTAGCCTATGTTCAATTATTCATCCATGATGCTAATGGTAAACAGCGCAATCAGGGGTGTTATCCAGAGACGACTCCAAAGCCCAGAAGCAAAGGCACATAATGTTGATCCTTCATCTCCATCCAAGTCTTTACCTCGCTGGGTAATCTACATAATAGCCACCGGTGGAGCGCTTGTCTTTGTGGCTGTAGCTGCTGCCACTGTGTATCTACTCTTCTCTCGTCGAAAGAAGGATACCACTGTCATGCCATGGTCTACTGGACTCAGTGGACCACTCAGTAAAGCCTTCGTGGCAGGTCAATCTCTCACCATCCGGAACTTATGGGTTAAACCAAATGGGCACAGTTCATCAGACTAGCATACATAATTTCATCAGCCTGCTTGCATATAAATTGCCTTTATTTGCAGCATGGCAGTTACTTATGTGATGTTGTACATACTGTGTATCCAGGTGTTCCTTCTCTAGGAAGGGCAGAGCTACAGGCAGCCTGTGAGGACTTCATCAACATGATCAGCTCCTCATCCGACTGCACGCTGTACAAGGGAACTCTATCAAGCGGAGTCGAAATAGCAGTAGTCTCCACTTCAGTTAACTCTGCCAAAGATTGGGCCGACAGGTCTGAGGAGCAATTCAAGAACAAGGTATGTTGTAGTGTTGTGCAAAGCTATGGTCAAGTCAACTAGTTTTTCACTGTTGTAGTGTTGTGTGTCTTATCTTACTGAACATTAACCGCTCCTGTTTCAGATATCTGTTCTGTCCAGAGTGAACCATAAGAACCTGATGAACTTGCTTGGTTACTGCACGTGCGACGAGCCGTTCACAAGAATGATGTCTTCGAGCATCTTCATAGTGAGTGCCCTCTCCACCTCTGTATCTGTCTCGATGCCTAGAGAAATACAGTAACGTTCTTGCCTTTTCCTTTTGCTGATGAAATGAAACACAGCAATGGTGCTAACTGTTTTCTGATTCCCATGCAACAGTTAGGTAGTTGTTTTTTTGATGAAACACAGCAATGATTGATATCTGAAGAACATGCATGTTGCCTGCAATGATTGATTGTTAAGTAGCTAATAGAGTAATTCCTTCTCATGTTGTGCAGTTAGAGAAGCAGAAGATCTGGACTGGCCTGCACAGCTGCGCATCATCATGGGAGTAGCATACTGCCTGGAGCACATGATCCAGCTCGACCCTCCAGTGACGCCACCAACCCTGAGCTCCTCGTCCATCTACCTCACTGAGGACTACGCGGCCAAGATCTCCGACGCCGAGTTCCGGAAGGAGGACGACGGCGGCAAGGAGTACGCACAGACCGATGACGACGTCGTGTACAGGTTCGGGATCCTGCTGCTGGAGGTGATCTCCGGGCGGCTGCCATTCTCCGAGGACCACGGCCTGCTCGTCCTCTGGGCGTCGAGCTACCTGGACGGCAAGAGGCCGCTGCGTGGGATGGTTGATCCCACGGTGAGGTCGGCCGTGCCCGAGAAAGATTTAGAGGCGCTGCGCGACGTCGTGAGGCTGTGCGTGCGCTCGGACGACCAGGAGAAGAGGCCGGCCATGGGCGAGGTCGCGAGGTCGCGAGGACGCTGAGAGGCGTCACCGGGTTGTCGCCGGAGCAGGTGACGCCGAGGGATAACCCGCTGTGGTGGGCCGAGCTGGAGGAGTCCGGGTGAAGTTCAGAACCAAACGTGAACTGGATTTTCTTTTATTTTGTTTTTGTCATCGATTTTTATACTTTTTTTTTGGTTTTGTTGCTGATCACTGCGAAGAATCTGCAAATTTGTAATAAGTAGTGGTATAGTACAAGTTTAGAGCAAGAGATGTCACTGTAACTATAGCTTGTACAATATCAATGCTTTATGCTTATGCTTATGCATATGCATGTACAATATCAAGTCCAAGATACACCCATCATCATCAGATCCTATAGAAAAAACACGCATTGTCAGATGTCAACCATTATATAAGGCAAGGCAAACCATATTTTGTGTTTGGCTCTAAAAAAAAAATCAACTTTACATATGCAATTCAAGAGAGAGGGCTCAACCCAGCCCAACTGCCCAAGCCCAACCCAACCCAACCCAAAGCCACGATGAGCAAAGACAAGCGATCCTTCCTCCTTTTCCGTTTTCTCCCGTTCATTCACCTCGCTCTCTCTCCGTGCGGCGACGACTGGGACTGCCGCCGTCCGCCGGCGCCATTCTTTCCCTGCGGCAGAGACGACTGGGCGAACGCCGCCCCACTTCGCCACCTCTTCGCCGGCGACGATCACCCACCAGGTATGCCCGCTCCCTTTCTCTCCTCTTGCTTCCTTTGCGAAGCCGAGCACCCCAAACCCTAAGCTGTTCGAACCCGGATCTGACCCAGTTACAAGTAGTATATACATGAGTCCTACTATCTTCGAGTTTTTGCAAAAAAAAACCATCGGGGGCACGCATCCTGGATTCGCTCCTCTGTGCATCCATGCTGCTGCTGTTAAGGTAATTAGGCCTACAATGTAGACTAGACTTTGGATGGAAGCAAATTATGATTAGGTTTCACGTGGTTCTTGCTTTGCTTTGGTACCACTCTTTAGTCAGTACCATGTGTCTGATATGGGCAACAGCGAAGCTTGTCAATCTGGGCGAACAAAAGAAACCCTGTTAATCTGGGAATGCTACCTGCATATAGAGGGAAGGAAATGGTACGTGCGCTAGAGGCAATGGTTCATGTGCTGTTATGTGTTGTCGATACAGGGCACGTGGATTGGTAATGGCCACATTCGGATAAGCGGATAGGCCAGTTTCCAAAAGAACCTGATTCCAGGATGTGCGTTTTTAGTATTAAAAGATGAATAAATAACTGATAAGGCTCATTAAAACTATGGCTGTAGCAGGAACTATAAACCAGCTTGCAATATGGCCGTTTTGCTCTTTTGCAGTTTTTTTTTGAACTTTGAATTAACCAACACCCAACACTCCAAAAGCCCAACAGTTTTGTAGCGCTGGTGTTCCCTGTGTACCATGTCTTCAATGATTCAAGTGATCCAGTGGCTTAAAATAGATCCTGGTGTCAAAAGTAGAGAAATAGATTTGCTTTAGCGAATGAATGTTTAGTGTTCCAGCCCATTATACTTTTTTTTATAGTTTCATGTTCTGTCTAGCTTTGGCATAAGCTGTGGTTATATTGTGCAGAACTGTTGTTGAATTCAGATTGCAGCAACCAATGAGTGCTATAATGTACTTTGCTCGAACAACCTTTTTTTTTTCCTTTGTGAATCTAGAAATATTTACAAGTTGAGCAAGAATTTTCACTGTAACTGGCATACAAAATATCACTACTCTTTGAGGGGATGATTTCTCTGCCAGGTCCAGTTACATCTGTCAGCAGATACCTATTGCTAGAATGCTGGGCACATCATGCATTGGACTCACTATACATCAAGTTTATAAGTAGATGAACGATGCAAAGTAAAAGTGACAATTACATTGTGAAATCTTCTTGTTTGTTGTTTGGTTTGTTCAACAGCGCAGACATAGCGTAGCATTAGGCATTAGCATTACCCAAGGAAAGGCATTGATAGTAGCTGCTTATGGAGGGAATTAAATGCTATGTACGTTAAAGGTTATGAATTATGATTTATGTGCTGTTATCTACCATGGATATGGGGGCACGTGGTTTGGTATTGGGCAGATGGATAAGTGGATACGCCTGCGTTCAAAAGAACCGAATGCGTGGATACATTTTAATATTTTACATAATAAATAAATAATAAGACACAATAAAATTATAAAGACAGTTGCGGCCTAGCAGGAGCTATAAATTAGCTTCCAATATGACCGTTTTGGTCTTTTGCAGTTTCCCAAATTTCCATTTAGCCAGCATGACAGCACCCAACACTACAACAGTGAAGACAAGTCCAAGCATTTCCAATTCTTTAAGTCAACACCCAACACTCCTAACAGCCCAATAGTTTTGTAGCTCTGGGCCGCTGCTCTTCCCTGTGTAGCCTGTCTTCAATGATTCAAGTGACCAAGTGGCTTAAAATGGATCATGGTGTGAAAAATTGAGAAATGGATATAACTCTATCGAATGAGCTCCGACTAATAAATGTATAGTGTTCCGTTCCATTATTATTTTTTAACTTTCCTGTTTTGTTTGCCTTTTCCATAAGTTGTGGCTAGATTGTGGAGATCTGTTGTTGAATTCAGATTGCAGCAACCAACGCTTGCCCTCTAAACCTCTAACCCCCCCCTTTGTGCTACCATGCCATTTGTAGTACAATAGCTTTGAACCATTCATATGTTGGTCGGACAACACAGGCTGAACTACTCATATCAAATTCATATCTCTTGTTGTAAATTTGTGACCTGAACCGAATAATTGATTTGCAGGTGGATGTCATTTTTTTGTTGAGAAGTTGAAGACTACTAACTTCTTTGATCCTGAGGTGAAGAAGTAATGATCCACCCAGGCTCAAAGGAGTCACAAAATTATGATATCAATAATCAAAGAGTTCATCCTCAACCAATTGATGAGAACATGAATCAGAACGGGGACTCAATGGACACTATGATCGGGAGGATATTCAACAACATATCCTCTTTAAAATCTGCGTACATTCAGCTGCAGGAAGCGCACACCCCATATGACCCTGACAAGATCCAGGAAGCTGATAAGCTTGTCATAGAGGAGCTTACAAAACTTTCAGAACTCAAGCATGCTTACAGAGAAAAACATCCTAAGCCAATAGCTGCATCCCCTCAAGATTCGCGCTTGCTTTCTGAAATACAAGAGCAGCAGAATTTGTTGAAGACCTATGAGGTCATGGTAAAGAAGTTCCAGTCCCAGATCCAGACTAGAGATACTGAGATAACCCATTTACAGCAGCAAATTGATGAAGCTAAACTTCGGAAATCAAAGCTAGAGAAGAAACTGAAACAAAGGGGCCTACTTAACAAGGAATCAGAGGAATCTGATGAAGAAGAGAACTACTTCTCCATTGAATTGACACCAAGTTTGTTTACATCTGCTGTCGATAACGCACACCAGTCGATACATGACTTTTCAAAGCCTTTGATCAACATGATGAAGGCTGCAGGTTGGGATCTTGATGGGGCTGCTAATGCGATTGAACCTGGTGTAGTTTACACAAGAAGGGCTCACAAGAAGTTTGCTTTTGAATCCTATATTTGCCAAAGAATGTTCAGTGGGTTCCAAGAAGAGAGCTTTTCTGTCAAGGATTCTAATATAAGTGTTTCCAATGAGGCTTTCTTCCATCAATTCCTCGCAGTGCGAGCCATGGATCCTCTGGATGTCCTGAGCCAGAACCCTGACTCAATATTCGGGAAGTTCTGCAGAAGCAAGTACCTATTGCTTGTGCATCCAAAAATGGAAGGTTCTTTCTTCGGCAACATGGATCAGAGGAACTACGTCATGAGCGGTGGCCATCCAAGGACACCTTTCTACCAGGCATTCCTAAAGCTAGCAAAGTCCATATGGCTGCTGCACAGGTTGGCGTACTCCTTCGATCCAAAGGCAAAGGTATTTCAAGTGAAAAGGGGAAGTGAATTTTCGGAAATCCACATGGAAAGCGTTGTGAAGAGCATCATCATAGAAGAGGGTGCGGAGAGGCCAAAAGTTGGCCTGATGGTGATGCCTGGTTTCTTGATTGGGAGCAGCGTCATACAGTCCCGAGTGTATCTTTCAGATGCCAAGTGTGCTGACTGACCTGAAGATGCTGCAGTTACACAATGAGCTTGAGGGTACTTTGCTTCTTGGGACTTGGGAGAGCTACCACCTGCATAAGTTTAAGGTGGACTGTGTCTGTCTTGTATGTAATGCGTGAGACCTGTTGTTTCTCTGCCATGCTTTGTGAAGATTTCCATGTGCTATTCTGTCCAATGGGCTTTTGTCGTTTTCAGGATTAGTAATATATTCCTGTTTCCCAATGTTGCATTTCCATGTGCTATACTGCTGTGTAATCCTGCCCAATGTTTTGTACATGCCATCAGTGTGATTGGAGAGCCAATGTGATGATTATATAGGTTGTACTTTTCATCTGAAACGTTTTTGCCCAATCAGATGATTCTATTTGCATAGTTGTGTGGTAAAAGTGTTCCATATCAACGTGTTGTAGCTTGGGGACTGATATGGTGGAAGTGGAATACGGAGCATTAGTGCTGCTGTATACTTCTTGCTCCTTTCCTTGCTTGGGTCTTGTGCTTCCACCATTGAACAAGGTGTGTGCAGAGAGTTTTGATGGGCAATGATAAAAGTATAAAACAGATAACAATTTATTTAGTTGCTTCATAGTTCATACGAATTCACAAATCTCATCGAATTTGTTTTCTCGGTCAGAGATGCTTTAACCATTTGCGAAGCCTTGTTTATGTCTGTTCTACAGCATTGTCCATTCCATTCTTCAGAAGAGAAGAGAAGAGAAGCAACAACAGACCACGCTCCAGTCCAGTCACCGTCAGTCTCTGCTCTCAACTGCTGCCATGGCAGTCACATCCGACAGCACCCATCCCCCTCCCTCCGTCACCCACGACCTCGACGAGGATGACGACGATGAAGAATTCGACGACGACGGCGACGACTTCGATGACGAGGCCGACGACGACGACGATGGCGGCGAACCCCCCGCGTCCTCGTCCGAGGCGACTCGCCTCGAGGCCGTGCTCCGGCGGCTCACCGCGGACGAGGTCCGGATCCGGGTGCACCAGGTCACGATCCGGGGCTGCGCCCGCACGCGCCGCGCCGCGGTCGAGGCGGCTGTCGGCCCGGACCTCGCGCGCGCCGCCACCGTGCGGGACCTCGTGCGCGCCGCCGCCGCGGCCGGCGACCGGCTCCGTCGCCTCGGCACCTTCGACACTGTCTCGATCACCCTCGACGCGGCGCCGCCAGGGATCCCCGGCAGCGCCGTCGTCGTCCTCGTTGACGTCGCGGAGGCCCGCGGCCGCGCTGCCGGTGATTTCGGCGTCTTCACCAACACACAGGTACCCATATCTCCTTTTGCTTTTACAAAATTGAGTTGTTTGCATCTTGCGTGATGCAGTGTTCTTACTTATAGAGATAGGGGTCAAGAGAATTCACTTTTAATTTAACTAAAAGAGACCTCCCACCAGAATCTTAGCTAATTTGAAAAGGGGCACATTCAATACAATCAAGTGGATTGGATTGTCCTTGCTTTGAGAATGATCAGTCAAGGGCTCAAGGGTTCATGATACATAATTTACTACCTGCTGTTATGCTAGTATTGGTACAGTGTTGTGGATGATGGAAACGACTACCAGGACCATTGATTTGTATCAGTTTGCCTTAGTGTGCTTTGTTTAGGAAAAACTGGATCATGTAGTTCTTGCATATCATTGGGAGTTAGTCGGGCTATCTTCAGGTGCATTGTGGAATGGATATGTGGTTTTGTTTCCTGATTCCTACTGCTATGGTTCTGGAGTAAAACAGACTAGTTTCCTGCATTTTCTGGTTCAGCATTGCAGTATCATTGCAGGACTTTTTTCATGCCCTGTCATATTTATCCGTTCCAAAATCATACACGCTCCGCTGCATAGCTTGGATGAAAATCATTCAAGGGTATCTCTCATGCATTCTCTATCACTTACATGTGCATTTAGCTTTGGATTTGTGCATACTGTTTCTTCCTGCTAATTTGACCTAACATGATTGATCTTCAGAACCTACTGTGTTATGATAAATGGCGATTTAATGTCACTATATCATATGCACAACTTCAATTGGTTCCCAAATCCACTTTCTCAAAGCCTCACCAATTTTCTTTATGTGAACCTTTTTGCAGACTAGATCATGCTCACTTGAAGGTTCAGTGAAGTTGAAGAACCTATTTGGATTCTGTGAGACCTGGGATGCATCAGGTGCTCTTGAATTATATAAGACAGCAGAGCTAAGTGCTGGAGTCCAAATGCCTAGAATCGGAGCAATACCAACTCCGCTGATGGCTAGAATATCATTTCTGTCTGAGGACTGGTTGAAGTCCTCACTCAAAGAACACCTGATGGCCGTTTCTGTTGGCTTGCTCTCCACCATGAACCACAACCTTGCTTACAATTTGACATGGAGGAAATTAACTGATCCAACACGTATGTCATCCAATTCCGTACAAGAGGAATTAGGACATAGCCTTTTGTCCTCTATTAAGTATGCGTACAAGGTTGACCAAAGGGATTCAAGCATAAGACCTACACGTGGATATGCTTTTCTGTCGTCTTCTCAAGTTGGAGGGCTCGCACCAGGGAGCAAATGTTCACGATTTCTTAGGCAGGTATATCTCGACTTTCATTCTGCTCCATCCTTTGCGTTGCTTGAAAACTAGGCTTTACACAATACACCTTTTAATTGAATCCTAGGTGACCTTTATTATTGTCTTTTTCTTAGGCATCATTGGAATCTTTGATTGAATACTTTTGTACCTCCAGCTTTGCAAATTCATGATCAATGTTAACAATGCAGATTATTGTGAGTCTACCGTTCTCCCAGTAGATATACCTTTTGTTGTCTGACTACTGACCAAGGGCAAATAACTTTCAAAGTTATGTGCTCTGTTAAAGCATCGAAATAGCGTTTTTATTTTCTAGAATCGAATGCCCTGCATACTAGGATTTTTTTATCAACAACTGAACTGATTTGAACTGAAAGGTATTTATTATTTTCTTGATTGTATATCAGGAATTTGATCTTCGAGTGGCTTTGCCTCTGGGTGTGCTGAATGGTGCTCTGAATGCTGGAGTGGCTGCGGGAGTCATCCATCCATTGGAAAGGGCATCCACAGGATCTGTCTCACCACTTTTAGAAAGATTTTACTTGGGTGGAAATAGGCCTCTTGTATGCCGGTTGGGTGGACCATCTTCACTATTAGGCTTCAAAACAAAAGGACTGGGGGCAACAGAATTCAGAACACGTGACCCCAATAATTCTGACATTGGCACTTCCCCTTCTCCTGAGCTAAATGGTCTTGGAGGTGACATAGCAGTGACAGCCTTTGCTGACCTGTCATTTAATCTGCCTCTGAAGCTACTCAGGGAGCTGGGAATTCATGGCCATGCTTTTGTCTGTGCTGGAAATCTTGGTAAATTAACGGACTGTGATCTTCGGAAGTTCCCTGTTACTGACTTCCTACAAACATTCAGAAGTTCAGCAGGATTCGGCGTTGTTGTACCAACCAGACTGTTCCGTATAGAGGTTTACCCCTTTACATTCTTCAGTTTTTTCCATTAAAGTTGGTGATGAATTTGCCAGAGAAGTTTAGTTAACACGTTTTTCTCCTATTGTCCAGATGAATTACTGCTACATCCTAAAACAGTTTGATCATGACAAGGGGAAGACAGGCATACAGTTTAACTTCTCGTCGCCCTAATTTCTCTGGCAGCATTGTCTATTTGTTAAGATGGATATTCCAATTTTCCCCTCACTATTCTGATCTTATGGAGGAGCCTGTCTAGAACTGCCACATGTAAAAAGAAAGGCTCTCACGCTGTAACTGTAAGTGATAAATTGTTTGTACTGTGATATGCATTTGATGCTGTGACCTGTGAAGCACAAAAGCAAAAGGAAAGCAAACAAGTTGGGAGCTTAAGTTTTCAATGCTGTCATGCATGTTTTGGACTGGAAATTATGGAACAGCGTTGTCCAGAGATCTGCTTGAATAAGCCAACAGTAGCCAGGGACACACGATTGTTGCCGAACTGCCTAGTGTTGGCCATTTCTGGAACTGTTTGTCTGTAGAAAAAGTAGGAACAGATGAAGCAAATTTTGGCTATGCTATGGCATGCTGAACAAAAATTTCCATGATGGTTTTGTTGCGAATTGGATATGGTGCCGACATGAACGCTTGGACAATGAGATTGTGTTTTTACCAACCAGTATTGGTCATGTACGTATAACACGAGCTATCTTGAGCCCTTTTTGGAAGAACTGTTGTACTTGTACGGATCCAACTAAAAATGTTTTCTTTTGACATAACGGAGTTGCATCCAACTAAAAATGTTTTCTTTTTACAGAACTGAGTTGCCCTGCATGATCCAGGGCTACCAATGGTTTCTGTTTGGATATTTCTCTCATCGTTTCTTCTTTCTCCGGTTCTTTTTTCCAGCCTAAATAAAACGATGAACCAGCCGTTCTGCCGTTAACACTCGAACGGTCGAGTTCGACTTCACTCCGCTGGTCTCTCACCCCCGTAGGGCCTCCTCTCCGCCTGCATTGCCCCGCACGCGCCGTGGACCTCTCCGCCGTAGCGCCGTGTCCTCCTCGCCCTGCGGCGCGCGCCTTGCCCGGCGCTCGCCTCGCGGCCTCCTGGCTCCTGCCCCGCCGACCCTCCTGCGCTTCGCTTCCCACCCCTGGCTTTGTTCGCTTGCTTGCTACAGCATACATGGGGCAGGCGGCCTCGTCCGCGCGCAGCCGGGAATCCAGCGACAGTGCTAGGGTTTCGCGGGCGCCGAAGCACACGAAAAATCGCGGCAAGAGGTTCTTCAAGTGCCCCAGGAACCACGAAGGGGGTGAGTGCTTTCTCCCTTTATGATGTTCATCTGTAGGACTACCAATCTTGGCATCATTTCATTTGTGCCAGTTTCATCCAGTTACGTTACATGTGCGCAGCGCTTTGTTCCTCTGAAAACATTGCCTGGGGAATTTCAGAACTTGCTGTACTTACTGTGATCCATTGTGCAGGTGCCATGGTCATGGACTTTGCTCCTCATGTTACAAAATTATGTGAATTATTACCTAGAGAAGCATGTATTTTGGACGGCCGTCCCTGACGCGCTGGAGGTAAAGTATCTGAACTTGGGAATGGAAGAGGTGAGGAAGGAGTTGGTAGGGACGAAGAACAGAGAAGGAATAAAAAATTACGTTTGTGTATTGTGGGGTCCATCAATTTAGTGTTTGTCTTGTTGTACACTCGTTTGGAACATGAGAGAAACACCCAAGCCAAAACAATTCTTTCTGAGAGGCATACAAATTGGGTCCCAAATGTTATGAGGCTTGCCAATTGAGATCCAAGCACTGAAATTTCTTACTATAGAGACCTTAGACCACAATCAGACATCCAAACCTAAAGGAGGGCGCGCTGGTCATGCAATTAAGTAGGCTTTACTGATGCCCTTGCTTTCAGTCTTTCAGAATGATGAGACACGGCTATGCCTACTTAATTTTGATTTTAGCAGCTGCTATGCTAGTAACAATACAATGTCCTGGATGATAGACAGCTCTAGCCCTGAGGAATACTTGAGGTGAATCAGTTTATCTTAGTGTGATTTGTTTTAGGAAAAAGTGAAGCTTGTAGTCGCATTAGTTGGAACTCAACTGACACTATTTAGCTGCATTGTGGAATCGATACAATGTAGTTGTGATTCTTGATGTGCGCTACTCTGATTCTAGAGTCAATCGATTAGGTTCCAGTTCTGGTTCACTATTGCATTGTATCTAACATTCTGCATTGTAGGATCTTTTGTGTGTTACGTTGTAACCCTCCACACCAACGTTATACATGCTCCAAATCACTTGGATCCAAATCATTTATCTTTCATGCATTATTTGTCACTTAACATGCGCATTTAACTGTACGTGCATCTGTTATGTAGACCTTTAGTAATCTATCTTTAGCAACTATACTCTGTACTGTATATTCAGTATGTCATGACCTCATGATGTATGAACTATGATGGTCAAACATTACTATATAGATGAATGACCTCAAATTGTTCTCTAATTCACTTAAGTCTCACCAATTTTCTTTGTGTACACCACTACACCTTTTTGCAGATTAGATCATTTTCACTGGAAGTTTCACTGAAGTTGAAGAACCTATTTGGCTACTACGAGACCTGGGATACATCAGGTGCTCTTGAATTATGTCACATAGCAGAAATAAGTGCTGAAATGCCAAGACTACATGCCAGGATATCATTTCTATTGGAGGATTGGTTGAAATCCTCACTCAAAGAGCACACTATGGGTGTTTCTGTTGGCTTGCTCTCCACTATGAATCATAGCCTTGCCTATAACCTGATGTGGCGAAGTTTAACAGATCCAGCACGCATGTCATCCAATTCCATACGACAGCATTTAGGACATAGGCTTTTGTCCTCTATTAAGTATGCATACAAGGTTGACCAGAGGGACTCAAGCATAAGGCCTACACGTGGGTATGCTATTTTGTCATCTTCCCAAGTTGGATGCTTTGCACCAGGAAGCAAAGACTCGTGGTATCTTTGACAGGTATATCTGATTTCCTTTCTAGTCATCCTTTGCTTCCCATAAAACCAGGGTGTACATCTTTTAATCATCAGCCTGTTCGGTTGGCTGGTTCGTTTCGTTGCTGGTTCGTGAGGAAGTACTGCTGGCTGGTTTGTGTGAGAGAAAAATACTGTTTCGGCTGAAAATTTACGATCGTTTACGACAAGCCACAGCCAAACGAACAGGCTGCATATCCTTTTTACTTTTATTTTTCTTCAGTAGCATTTTAAGTTTTTGGACGTTTTATACTCATTAAGCATTGTATTTGTAAATCTTACTTTCTTTTCCAACTGCACGATCAGTACTACCATGCACATTGTGGTCACATTCCTAATTCTCTCCCTTGAAATATACCTTTTTAACCGTTTCTATGATTAGTGGACCGATGATAAAAAAAGGTTTCATGATCTGGTAAAGCGCTCAAATGGCAGTTTGCTTTTGTCTTCAGTCCTAATTCCTATAAAAAAATGTGGCAGTTTTAAATCTGAATTTCACAATTTTAATCTTTGTGTATAACGCACTGCACATAATGTTTTTTTAATTAAAGAACTGGATTGATTGAAACTGAAACATATTTATTTAGTTGTGCTTAGCATAATTCATTTTTTTTATTGCCTATCAGGAAGTTGATCTTCGCGTGGCTTTCCCACTTGGTGTGCTGAATGGTGCTCTCAAGTCTCAATGCCGGAATGGCTGCAGGACTCATCCTTACGTTGGAAAGGAAATGCACAGGGTCTGTCATACCACTTTCAGAAAGATTTTACTTGGATGGTAACAAGTCTCTTGTTTGCCGCCTGGGTGGACCATCATCACTCCCTGGCTTCAAAGCAAAAGGTCTGGAGCCGAAAGACTTTGGAACCTCTGCCCCAAATAATTATGAGAATGGTGCTTCTGCTTCTCCTGAGCTACATGGGGGAGGTGACGTAGCAGTCACAGCCTTTGCTGATCTGTCATTTGATCTTCCTCTGAAGCCGCTCAGGGAGCTGGGAATTCATGGCCACACATTCATTTCTGCTGGAAATCTTGCTAAACTAACAGAGCATGGTCTTGGGAAGTTTTCCGTTACTGACTTCCTACAGACATTCAGAAGTTCTGCAGGATTCGGTGTAGTTGTGCCAACCAGACTGTTCCGCATAGCGGTCTGTCCCGTCGCACTCTTCAAATTTTCCAGTGAATTTAGTGGTGAGCTTGATGCTTAAAAGTTTAATAACATGGTTTTCTCCTCTTGTCCAGATGAACTACTGCTACATCCTAAAACACGTTGATCATGGCAGGGGGAAGGCAGGTGTACAGTTTAACTTCTCATTGGGCTAATTTGTTTGGCAGCATCACCTCACGCTGGGGAGGGACTTCACTTTTGGATGTTGATGTGAATGCTTTGGACTGGAATGATGGAATCGTGTTTGTCCAAGGATCCTGCTTGAATCAGTCAACAGTAGGTGGTGACAAATGGTTGCTGCCAAGCTACATAGTGCTGTCCATTTCTGGGATGTGTTTCTTCTGTAGAAAAAGTAGGAAAAGCTGATGCAAATCCTGAAAGGCCAACATGTGCATCATGTAGAACAGTGTGGTTGTTGCCGAGCTACATAGTGTTGAACATGAGCCTATTCGGCAGGTCGTAAACGATCGTATACGATCGTGGATTATAAGATGGAACAATATTTTTCTCTCACACCAAACCAGCCAGCAGTAAATAATCCACGATCCAGCCCAGCCAGCCGAACAGGCTGCATTTCTAGGATTGTTTCTGTAGAAAAAGTAGGAATGGCTGATGCAAAAACAGAAATGCCAACTTGCGTGTTATGCAGAACTGTGTACTAACATCCCCCCCACCCCTCAATTTAAGATGTGAGAAAGGCTAGGATTTGCCAAGTTTGCTATGCTATGCTATGGCATGCTGAGCAAATGTTTCCATGATGAATTTGTTCCAAATCAGATATCATACCGACATGGCAGGGGCAAATGAGGATGTGTGTTTTTTTGGCTAATAGGCTTGCCATGTACTGTATGCTTTTTGTTTGTGATCCCAAAGTGAGTTGTGGTGGATTTGATTGAGTGAATAACCAATGGCGTGATCTTATCATCTGACCGAACAGGTCTGATCAATTTCAAAGGGAACAGCGACGTCTCTGTCCAGGTTACCAGGTGCTGTGTGCATCGTTTTTCTGCAGATGCAGGTGAGAGGTGACGCAGCCTCCATGTTTAAATTGACACAGCCAACACACACATTAATGGATGAATGTATCAACGACAGGTCTGACAAAGATGTCCATGAAGAAATGGCGATGCAGATGAAGCAGCAGCAGCAGCCAACGAATTGAAGCAGTCGAGTTTTTAAGACCGATCCATCAAGCACCACTGATTGGTCTAAGAAGTTGCAACAAGCAGGCAAATATACATATACATATGGATGGAAACGTACCATTGGTGCAATGCACATGCACACGACTAATTCTAAACGGAGAGTTGTTGCAGAGCGATCATGCATGTCGCTTTAATTCTACTGTACATGATCAATGAATTGATTCAACAGCCTAGCCTTACACACACATGAAGTTCCAATCAACGGAGAACGGACGAGTTTTCTGGATTGTGTCTGCCCGCTAGCAGAATGTAGATTGACGGATGAACCTACGACGATAATGGTGGTAGTATCACACCCTTGCTATGTTTCTACATATATGGTCCCTACCATGTAGTCATACTACTTCAGTTTTTTTTTTTAATGTTCTAGACTCGCTGATCAGCTTCTTGAATAAAAAAAAACTGTTGTAGACTCGACTTCACACTATTTTTTGAAATATTAATAACTTGCCACTGAGCAAGTCAGGCTTATACGAATTGCCATTGAAGTATTATTTTGTATTCTTACTTTCATTAAACAAGTGCTCCTGTTTTTGTCTAGACGAATTTCTGCCACGTCCTGAAACAGTTTCATGACAAGGGAAAGAGAAGCTTACAGTTTAACTTCTCTTCCTCCTATTTTTGTTGGGAATATGTTCTCATCAAGATGAGTAGTTGCTCTCTCTCTCTCTCTCTCTGGCAAGAGCTTTCCTAACACACTCTGATCACTCTATAGCTCTCTCCAAAAATGGGGCCATGCGCACACAAGTGATAAACTTATTGTACTAGGTTCTAGATTTAATGTTGTGACATGTAAAGCACAAAACCGAAAGGAAAGCAAAAGAGGCCGGAAGCTTTAGTTTTCAATGCTGATCTGAATGTTCAGGACCGAACTTGATGAAATTGGGTTGCACAAATATCTCTGCGTTGTACAAACATTGTTTGCAAGCTACAGTGTTGTCCATTCTTATATTAGCACTCCATTTTGCGGTAAGTTAAAAAGAATAGGACTGGTTATGCAGATTTTTATGTTGAAAAGGCTCACCTACAATGAATCTGTTACATATCCTGGATATCTGTTCTTACTGATGTGAATGCTTGGACTGTCCTTGTCATATGTACATTTGGTGGACAAGAAACTTTTATTTGGAGTATAATATACATAGATGAACAGATCCACCGTTTTAATCCAATTTTAGTGCTGCTCTCAAACAGAAGTTCGGAATTTCTAGGATATTGTATGACAGACTGGACTGAGTGAACAATGTCTTGACAATGACAGTGACACTACATATCATCCAGACTTCAGAGAGGATGGGGACACATTATTTTGTATCCAGGTGCTATGTACATCTTACAGAATAGAGGCAATTTTCTTCTGGTACAGGTGAGGTGTAAGGTGAGGCAGCCACCAATCTTGACACAGGCACAACACACAGGTCATCAGCCAGATTGGTGAATTTGTATTGATGCTGGACACAGTCACACATGAATGAATGCATCAACGCTTTGACAGCGATGTTTGTTGTTCCTTGTATGCCTTAGCCTTTGGAAGTTGGAACCAGTGACAACATACGTATATGCAGTGCAGAAGAACCAGCAGCCAGGCAGTTGAACTATAACACTGATGATCAAACGCCCTTGATCGAGTCAGATGTAAGAACTTGCGCTATAAGCAAGCATACATTTGGAAACATATAATATGATTGATGCAACGCATGAGAATAATTCAAAATAGAGTTGTTACACAATAGTTTATGCTTGTCAGTTTAATTGTACTGCACGTGAATTTTGTGTGTGATGGATGATTGGATTCGACAGACACATGCATATCTAGTCCTAGTCAAGGAATTCTCTGGATGCATAGATGGTGGTTTCATAAGTCTAGCTACTAGGAGAATAGATTGATGGAGATGGCACCTAAGGTTTCTTTGGTGCTGCAGGTGTAGTACCACAGTACTGCGTGTACCCTTGCTGCCATTCACCCTAAAAGTTTGTGTAATTAAGTAGTTTGGCACTAATAAACAAGCTTGACTATATTTACTAGAATAAAAAATAAATTTCCCTGACAAATTATATAGCTAACATTTGAACTTCTACATACCTGCATCGCCACGACTTGTGCTATCCCACCACACCAGATTCCAGTTCTCTTTAGCCCTAATTCATGTGCTTATTTTATTCTTAGCTGAAAATCACCTTGTTCCTTCTAGCTGATCCAAATTTTTAGTGGTATATATAGATACATTTTGACAAAAGTAGACCGACTTAATTTTGTGAGTACTTAAACTGCCAAGCCAGTCAAGTTAATTAAGTGCATGCTCTGAAATGGGAGAAGCAAAAACAAGATGCTGTGATGTAGAGTAGATCAATGCTTATTAGTTTGATTCATTTTGAAATTAAACAAGCAAACTAGAAATTTTCTACCAAGTACTTGTCATCAATAATGGTGTAATTTCTAAGTAGTTATGGTGTAACCAAAAAAATCTGAGTTAAGAGCTCCTTTGAAATAGCAAGAGTTTTCGGCACTTTGGCTTAGATGTTAACACTACTACATAAACATTTTTAGAGGCATCTCCCTTTTAGTCCAGAGTTGGCTCTATCAAGAACTACCTTAAAAATAGATTTTGAGCCATCCCATTAGAGGTGAATGGAAAGCCCAGTCGCCTCTAGAAATGCCCTCTATTTGTAGAGGTGAGCCCAACCGTTACTAAAAATGCTACTTCTAGAGGCGGCTAGAAATTCCACCTGTCTCTAGAAATGTATTTTTAGAGGTGGCTGTCAATTTAGACAGCCTCTAAAAATAGGAACCCTTTCAAATCAAGACAGATAAAGTCGAGATGGACATAATAACCGCCTCTACAAGTGCTTTATGTAGTAGTGTAAACGCCTAAAAAAATACATGATTTCTTTGTAAAAAGAAGTACCATGCATGCATGCTCAAAAATTTGGGTGCTTGGAGGCTAAAAGTTATCGAGTCGTTGAGTACACTATAGCTCCAATTTTAAAACTAACAGTGATGGAGTGTACAATGAAAATTCTATCATGAACTGAATTGAAAGTGCAATTAAAAAGATGTATCTCACTGGTAGAAAAACGACATTTGATCCCACCTTAAAATTTGGCTTTAGTCCCGGTATTTTTTGCGCCCGAGACTAGAGAGACCTTTAGTCCCGGTTTATAACTCCAACCGGGACTAAAAGTCCCTACCCAACAGCTACTGTGGCAGGCTTTTGCTGCAGGAGACCTTTAGTCCCGGTTAGAGCTATCAACCGGGACTAAATGTTAACTTTTACTTCCGGTTGGTCCCTTCAACCGGAAGTAAAAGTCTACTTCCGGCTGAAGGCTCTATCCAAAACTAGAAATGAACCTTTAATCCCAATTGCTGTCTCCAACTGACTAAAGTCACGTGATTCGTTTTGGAGATCGAGGCCGTTTTCTTCGCACGAGTTCAGTCTTCAGTGCAAATGTGCACGGACGACGGAACATCAACCCACTGCTGAGATATTTTGCATCCGGCCTGTGATGAAAATGGCGCGAAGGCAAAGTGTGCATGGCCGTTGGGCTGCGGACGAGTATTTCGCCGTGAAGCAACAGAAGCCCACTTCCGAGCCACCGTTCCACCTGCCACCTCTCTACCTCAGCTTATCAGTCTTTAGCACCACCTCGCCACTCCACACACCGCAGCACCAGCTTAAATACTCCTCCCGACCGACCCCTCTCGACGACCTCAGTAGCGCGAGCTTTTGATGCTTGGCGTAGAAGGAAAAAAAACAAAATCATGAGGATGAGGAATAATAGACAATAACTAGTATTTTGTTTTTTGAAACTGGCAACAACTAGTATTTACACGTACTGCTAAACGGTACTAGCTATATGTGGAAGAGATGTCACTTTCTTAAGATAAATTAATTGTGTACAATAGGTACCTAAAAGATAAAGTGCCATGAGATTGATTTACATGCATCGTTCAACCAAAGTTTAGTTGAAGTGTCTTTTGTGTGCCATAAGTGCTATTAATTAGGCCAAAGACCAGTCACTATATATATTGATAGGAATATGATTGTTGGCTACTAGTGACATCTTTATCTTAAGTATACTACAGACTTTTGTTGTCTGGCCATATATACCCACCACAATTGATGACAAGGTAACATGATTTTTTTTTTGTTTGCAAAAGGTAGCAAATTACCATTGAAACAAAAATGATCTAGCTAATCAAATGTTTTCAGAGAGTGGAAATTTTGTAGAGCCCTGAACCCTACTATGCATGACCAGATTGTGCAACTAGTTCAGGGAAGAAGTTACGGCCCACTTGGAACATGGGAGATTCACTACCACAAAAAAATTTTAGGAGACATGCCTATTTTATTTTTAGAGACGGACTAAAATTTTATGTATCTCTCAAAATACCTGATGATTTATGGAGGCGGTCGTGTTTTACTTATGGAGACACCTAAAGTTGTCTGTCTTTCAAAATCGATTTACAGAGATGGTCGTTTTATATACGGAGATAGTAAAAAAATGCCCGCCTCCGAAAATAAATTTACAGAGACGGGTCTCTTAAGATGCTCGTCTCCGAAAATCGCTATTATTAGAGGCGGTCGTTCTAAGCATCTGTCTCTAAAAATCGATTTTCAAAGGCCATCTTAACTCTTAAGATGTCCGTCTCTATAAATAGTTGCAACAAAAAATAATTCATAACTTTTTCATATGAACTATGATGAAGACAAAATTCATATGAAAATTGTAGCTCTCGATGCGAACTATAACTTTCTAGTTGAATTTTTTGAAACTGTTTAGAGTCCCAAAAAATGTTCTAATTTTGCGGATTTTGAAATTTATTTTTTCAAACAATTTCGGATGTTGACATGATCTATACCAAAGTTTTAGGTGCCAATATAATCTACAACTGTGTAGTTGAAAAGTTTTTTACTTGAAGTTGTTTAGAGTCCCAAATATGTGTCATAAGTTCATA